AACATAAACTAAAAAATTCATGCCTACAGGAAAATTCTAAAAAGCTATTCACTAAATATACATATATTTAAATTGTTGCATTAAATATAAATGTATTCAATTATCCGTTTCATTCTGATGTATTTTTACATTTTTTTTATGCACAAGGATAAACAATATACAGCTGTTTTATTTATCACAGAAAGTCTTTTTTATGAGTGTACTGTATAGACAGTGGTTCATTTAAATACTGCCCTCAGTGTTAAGAATTGCACATGACAAATAAACTGACTAATAAAAACAAGCAAATATTCGACTTGCCCATCCTTAAATTACTATAGTACACTGTTAAATGTTAACATACCACAGCATTTTTTTTGAGTGGATTGCCGACATCACATTTCACTAAACCGGATACGCCTGGGGTATCGATGCATGCTATTGTGTAATCCTACAAAATAAATATCACACAGAATGTGTTTTAATATTAACAAAGAATTACTTTGTCCACGAACGGGTCTGCTGCACTTTTTAATGAATGTATACATTAATCACAGTTTTACCCTTTTAACACTGCAGTGTTTCCCACCAAAATACCAAGGTAGCATTTTGCACATTTTTATGCAATTTTTGTGTTAATTTCAAAAATTTGACTGCCTAAATATCTTGATCGAAATTTGAGAATAAATATGAGGAAATGATGATAGATGTAGATTTTGGTGTTTAAAGTGTTATATAACAAATACACTTTTTTAGCATAATTCTACAATATCGTAGTTCAGTTTCAGACACACGCTTCAATAAGTGCACTGACAGACTAAAACAAATTTTAATGACAAGTTGATGAAAATAATTCTACACAATAGATCATATTGTAATTTTCAGCTGAAATTAATTCCAGTGGATAACAATCAGTGCGCACAACTCATGTTGAAAACAAATCCATACTGGCATAAATAAACACAGATGAACTGCTATAAATGAGGTCATCATTCAATTATTCATGTCATCAGAATAACTTCTATAATGGACTTACTGTCTGACCCTTTTCCACTCTCACATAGTCAAATCCTTCGGGTAGCTGAATAGCAACATAAGCTTCAAACGCGTCGTCACCAGCATTCGTTACTACAACGCTCAGTGTGGTAGTTTCAGTGCTACCAATGTAGACAGAATCACTACAAACAAGAACACATGAACGCTATCATTTTGCACATTTATACAATAATTAATTTTTGTTTAATTCAGACCAAATGGACATATTTTTTCATTGGTTATAAAATGTCATGATCAACATTTTTGAGAAAAAAAAATTGTTGACAACATTTGAAGGTTTATTCGGTGAAAAACATTTGTGCTAGTTTTTATCAACAATGAAACAAAACAGAATGGAATGCTGAACATACCAATGTGTTTAAAAGTTGCCATTAGGCCTGAACACCAAAAAAATGCATTTCAGACAAGAAATATATTACAAAAAATTAGTCAGATATCATGGGAACAGCTTCTAATTTCACTGAGGGAACAGTTTGGTTGATAGTTCTCCAATATTACACTCCAATACGTAATCTTTTCAGTACAGTGGTTCAGATCACTGACATGTAACGAGTTCCGAGGGATTATAATGTCATAATGATAACAATAGCCGGTGAATAAAAATCTCCAGACAATCAGAAAATTGCCAGAAGCTACGAGTATTATCCCAATTCCCAAGAATCACAGAGAGTATCCTCTATAGATTCCCCATGATTTGTTTCATCATTCCTCGTTGATACCAAGCAATCTACTTATAATCTCCCTTCCAGCAAAGTTCCCAATCTTTTTGATCTCGGTCTACTTAAACTGATTTCAATGTTGATGAATATGAAAAAACGCTAATTTCAGATTTTTTGTCAAAACATATGGCTTTTCTGGAGTCCCATTTATCAAAATAATGCTTTAAGGTTTGAACTCTTAGTTGTTCACAATTATACATGCACAGCTTTAAGTGGTAGGAAGTGAACAGGGGAATTCCTAATACTAATTTTTACAAATACAAAATGTAACAATTTATGATTATCATAATTATATATTATTTATAATATTGTGCAATATCTTATTGATCGATTCCTAGACTTTGCTCAAATCTGGAAAATTCACTATATTGAACTAAATAGCATGTGATAAATTGAAGAAAATGAGAATCAAAATATTTGTCGGGTACAAAAAATAGCAGTGAAAAGTTTAATGATTGATAACTGATTTAAGTATATGAGTTATCGTTTCAAAACAGATATCTTGACAAGGTGCTCTTTATTAATGCTGAATGAAACTAAACTAAAGCAATTATTTTTTAGATTATATATGTATCCCCAAACACACACAATAATTTCCTGATTTGAGATTGTATTGTTTGAAACGTAACAATTCGCCTTCTGGCTATAACATCCAATCACAGGGAGCCTGACCAAAGGTGATTACGAATACCACGGTGAGAAAACCACAAGCAAGTATAAAACAATGACGTGGGAATACGTCTAGACTCACATCTGTGACATTAATAGTAAATCTGGAACACATATTCTGTTATCACCACAGTCATTCTGGATATATACCTGTAAAATAACAATCAAGGATTCAGTACTGACAGAATACAACACTGTTTAGTTTGGGATTAAAAACAGAGCAAAATATGGATAGGATTTTTTAAAATTTTTTTTTAATATCTCCTTCAAAATGCATTTTACATTTTGTAAGGTTATAAATGTAGAGATGTGGTAAAATTTTGCATATTGAATGTTCTCACATCAACCATAGTAGTAAAACATAGCCATGAATAACACTCGGCCACTAAACTCTTTCGAGTCTGTTGCAGTATTCCACCCAGCGTGAGAATTTTAGAATTCTGCCAAGTAGGAGAAATATGACAAATCAAACAAATAGATTGCACAGATTTACATTTTAATTAACAGATCAAGAAGCACTAATCTTGTTTTTGTCACTTTTCCAACCACCAAGATGTCAGCCATTATCAACCAATACATGGCTATTGACATGTACCTTAAAAATACCCCGATAGAGTTTTGAACAGTAACCATGGAGACTACCAATCTGTAGCATAATTGATTTTATTATTATGGTTCCATCATAAAAGTTTGATATTGTCTTGGGAAGACACAGACAGTATGTATGAAATAGGAACACATGGGAATATTTCAAATGCAAAGATTAATCCAGATCAGTGGAGTTGGACAAGGTTGAGCACAGACACCAATTGGCAGGTTTTGAGAGTTTCATAGAGTAGAATAAAATAAGTTTTGTAGGTAGTGTGTGTGCATTTGACAGAGCAAATAGAGCAGTTTCACTTATTATTTTATGGGGGGGCACTCGTATTATTCTTACTGATGAAGTAAAAAAAAGTTGAACAATAAAGAATCAAGTTCTGCTGGTGGGCTATAACTTATTTATTCAAAGGACTTCAATGCCATGATTAATAAAAAATCCTGTATAATGAATTGCTATTAATCAAAATAAGAAAGATTTAGATTTGTGACAGCTAATATACTATACAACATAAATAACTGATTCAATCCAATTAGACGGGGTGGAGTCATTAGTGACATGTCAGTGAGCGTATTCTGTCGAGCAGCTAGCAATATTAATGAACATATTTCAGTATTAAAAAATCAATATCTAAAGTTAAATGGATATGATAAATGAGAACTGAGCATTTCATTAAATGGATAGCATTTCACTACAAAATCTGTTAAGTAATACGTAGTTCATTTTATTTTATTCACAAGTATAAGCATCACTAATGATAATTTTGTTGTTTTTAGAACAACAGCAAGGTATTTACTCGTTTAGAAGTGAATATAGCATGAAATTGAAAAGCATTTATTGTTTTGCAGTACAGGGTCATTATTAAAATATGACTTATTTTGACCAAAGACACACCAGATCTAACATTAAACATTAAGCTAAACACTACTACTGTTAGTATTCCAATTTAATCATTTTTGGTAACATTTCAATCTTTCTTAGCACATAAATTACAGTCCAATTTATGTTTTTCATAGTAATTAATGCCTATAATAAGAATAAAGTTAAATATTATTAGTGTAAATGAGTAAACACAGTTTTTACTGTTATTATCGCAAAGAGTTTTAAATATTTGTTCAATACTCAGTTCACCAATTAAATTAGAATACTTACAACAACAAATACAGAATTTAATTTAAACACTGTGAATAAAGCATTCTTACCAGTTTTTCTACTTTTGGTTCAATATAATTATTCAACACAGGTGACAGTTCTTCTGAAGGGACATTCTGGTTTTCTACCAATCTGTAGTTGACATCTATTGCAATGGGCGAGTACTTATCTGTAATATCATCCTGGGTAAATAATTGAAATAATTTAATTTTATGCTCTGATCACACGTAATTCAATTCACTGGCAATCATGTGACTTGCAAACTTTTTTGGTGTCCCTATATTTCGCTTTCTACTGTATATGAAGTGCACCAAATTTGGCCAAATAAGGATTTGGAAAAAAATGGGAAGATAATGATTAGTCCTAATAGAACTGAGAAAATGATCAGGACCATGTAACTGCCATCAAACTGACAGTACAAAATCCATAACAAAATATATCGGAAGCAATTTTCCACCAATGTGGTAGAATTTTGTGCGTATGCCTTTGAATACAGTAGCGGTAGCTTACACATTTGACTATTAATCAAAATGTTTAATATTTTAAAGTCAGGATTTATAAATTAAATTACACGATATATACTGCAAATCTGTGAATTATGCTTGAAAAATAAATGGCAATTTTATTATCTCTGAATAAATTTCAGTTTCAGTTTCCTGATTACTACACTTATATAACCAAGCTTGCCTCAAATAAAATAAAAACGCCATAGTTTTAGTTCATTAAAATTCAAAGCACATCGCTAGAGATTTTGTCTCAAATCCCGGGCTTCGTTTTGGAACTTCCTGACTGAGGAAATGTCTATTGAAGTGTTATTGTCATGGGAACGGTCACACAGCCTGTAAGTCATAACCACTTTGGATGTCAGTACACATGTGTACAGTTTATGAAGCTTGAGTAGTATTGGGAGTGAATTATTGAAAACAGTTTAATGGGTGTTGTAAGGTTTTGTCAAAATGCGCCAAGTTCAGGTTTATTACCATACTATACTACAAATAGTGAGAATAAATTTTAACTGGACTGAAATTTAGAATTTCAATCCACAAATAAAATAATGTTGAAGTTTGTAAACTATATGCAGTGATTATGGTAAAGATACAGCCTTTGACATAATCTCAAGCATGAACACGTGCTCACTATTAAAGGAACATATATCGGTTTTCAACCATATTATAGCAGTAGAATAGACGCACATATCATCGGCATTTGAACCATAAACAATGATTGTTGTTATAATGTCTCAAGTTCTTCTATAGGAATGACAGCGTATGCCATTATAGACATGAATAATAATGTTTTTGTTACAGCAATTCTAGGCACTGATTTGACGCTGAAGTAGTGCTAGATGTTGATAGCTTACTACAATAGGTTACACACTTTTTTTTTTCAAATTAGCAGAAGTTGTAACTAGAGATATAAACATCGACTGCAAATCAGAGGAATGATTGACAGATATTGCCGACAATGTTTTCTATTTTTGCTACAAAGTCAGGTACACCTAGACTTTGAGGCGTGTCTGTCTTTCATTAACTTTTGGTCGGTCGTCGTGTTGATTGCGTGTCTACAAATCGGCAAGCACCACGATGGAGAAGCAAGGAGTCAAAAAACCAATTGAAGTGAGAACAAGAGTTGTCGATTTGGATTTTCGTGGACTGTCATTTGCTGAGATCGGAGATCGAAATGGTGTTTCAAAGCAAACAGCTTATAATATCGTCAAACGGTTTGTTACCACCGAGAGTATCCTGCCAGGAAAGCGTAAGACAGACCAATCCGTGACTAAAAAAATAATTGACATTGCTATAGACTATGATGAATATTATAAAACATTGCGACTGCGCATTTACGGACGGGAAATTTGAAAAAAACTACTTGAAGACTGTATGTACAGTGGCAACCCTCCCCGGACGTGTGATCGTGTGTTCCCATGGTGATAACCTTTTTAACGCGATTATTTGGTGGCACATCAACCTTTTGGTTCTCATTGTCGAGAACTAATAATCGAATACCACCCATTCTACTTATGTATTCAATTTCATTATTGATATACTGGATGAAGTCTTCATAGGACATTTGTTGCAGGCAGCTTTCAGTTCTATACATCGGCGTGATATGGATATTTCCATAGTATAGGAATAATGCACTTTGATCAATTTAACTCTGTCATGATCAATCGGTCAGCTGGTTCTGTAAAATGACGTTCTTTACAGTGCCACCATTTCATGCGCCCCTCTCACTGAAATAACATGTGACGCAAATTGAAGTATGAAATTAAGGGAGCCTCGATCATTTATTGGAGGAGAAATTCAAAACTAACGTACCGCCACTTCTTCCGGTGCGCTTCAATTTTTAGACATGCTGTCTGCATTATTTGTAACAACTTCTGTAAATCTGAAAACACAGTGTGTAACCTATTGTAGTAAGTTATCAACATCTAGCACTACATCAGCGTCAAATCATTGCCTGGAATTGCTGTAATAAACTCACCCTCAGCAAGATGAAGCCAGCTCTACACCAGTCGCTGCTTTCATGAACTGTGAAGGCACCACTTTCTACTGTTGTGTCAGTTTTTTGAAAATAAGCTCTCTTTTGATGAGATTTCAAATACGTGTCCAATGATGTTGTAAACTCAACAGCTATATAAAGTAGATTAACAACATAATTAGAAATATCGCCAACTAAAGTTTTAACATGAACTCAATGGCCTGAAAAAACTTTTTTTTTTATAGTACCGGTATTTTCTATTTACTTGGATGAACCCACATTCACCTTTCGGTTTCATGTTATTATTTTAGATGTAAAACATTTCAAATAAATAGTTATGACAAAAACATAATTTTATGATTGAAATATAAGATACCAAGGGTTATATTAAATGCCTTCAGTAATAAGAACACAATTTAACATCATATGACACATTCTGAGTAAAGTTAAACTAATAGGGTATACTTTTTGACCTGAGGGCTATAACTTCATTGGTATACAGATGGCATGGAGTACCTATTGGCTTTCTAATAAATTGGGTGAATTTATATTTCCTCTAAGCATAAATTCCTCCTCAAATTCATTAATACTAAAGCTTGGTAATAAAATGCATAGTATTGTGATTTTAGCGTGTGTACCAATGAGTTATGAGCTGTTGGGTGGTAGGTGGTATTTCATCAAATATTGGTATGTGTGTAACAGCCGTATCAGGTGATAAAATGTGAGATATTCATCTCAGTTTTGGATTCCATATGTCATGGTATTTCTAAGAGTATAGGTAGCATTCTCAATAACTGCACCATTCTTCTGCGTAGCTATGAAAACTTACATCAAAGTTGTATTCACACCTAAGAACCCTTATCATATTAAAGTGTGTGTTTTTTTTAAAGGTCAATCTCAGTAAGCAGATAATTTATGGAATAAATTTTCAGTTGGGAAAGGAGAGTGATAGATGGGGGGAAGGGGTAAATAAACAATAGCGATAATTCAATGTGGAAATCTGGGGTTTCTTTAATTAATAATGAAACTTCATTAAAGGAATTCAGATTAGTAGACTAGGAAGCTACAAATCAGACTAATTGCACTGATGAGAATACGACTATGCAATGAGAGAGTCTCCATATTGATTTGCTATCTCATTTCTGTTCCTGCATGATGGATTACATCCATTTGGGCAAAAACTAAGAACAAGAAACATAAAAAATATACTTTATAAAAAAAAATAGAACAAAATAGTAGATTAGGAAAGAAGTACAGGAAGAGAATGATATCAAAGATGCCAATTAGTTTATATTTATATTGTTTGGTTAGAATATAGAATTTTGTATCATGATAAAATTACACCAAATTATTCACATATTACATGTACATTTTATTACATTTTGCTGTCAGACTTTAGAGATATTGACAAAAGCATCGTTGTTTTGTAAGCTGGATATGATAACTAAGTATGACATCCCAATTAGTGTCTGCTTATGGCAACATTTTAAACACACTTATCAAATCATTGTTTGAACCATATACCAAAAAAGTAAACAAGTCATTGTCAATGACACGTCCCCGTTCCGTTCATATTTGAGTGACATATACATTCAAAGCAGATCATGACCGAAATGCACCTGCATATGTACAACACATTGTGCTAAATCTGAACAAAATCCATCCATGCATGACTGAGATCCGGTTCTGGAATTGTGAAAATACGTGATTTTGATGCATTTTCGGCCTTAAAATGGCCATCATTCGGCTATTGTTAAGCAG